CTTTTGCCACCCAGCCTCAGACTGTTGCAAAAGGAGATGTAATCTTCATTTCCTGGTAGTGCCAGGGTGATGGGTTTGCAAGAGAAATGATCCTCCCCACTTCAAGGAAATGTTTTCAAAGATGGAAGATGTCTCTGAGGGGCAGGAGCAGTTCTGAGATTTCTCAGGAGTCTGCAACTCAACCTGAGGGTGATTCAGGAGATTCCCCAGCCTGCTCCTGTATCACCAGGCAATTCCCTTGACTGGCAGGCATGGAGCTGGAGCCAACAGCGAGTGAATCGCAGCTGTCAGGACCCCGTGTAATTCATGATGCCGTTTGCTGGGGAGCGAGCTGCTGCTGGGCTATTTATCACTCCTTCACTGCATGCCCTGCTCCTTCTGGCTGTGGCTGACATAATTCACAAGCACCTGTAGCTGCTGAGCACTGGCTGCACGGAGCAAAGCCTTCACTGCTGAGCCAGCCAGTCAGGCACCGGTGGCCTGACAAATGGCTTTTCCAACATGTGGACAGATAGTTCGAGCTTTTCAGATTCTTAACAAAGGAAATGCATTCCTCTACTGACTCTCAGGAGTCATCAAGGTCACAGGAAAAGATGCCAGAATGAAAGTTGAGATGAAATTAAATATTTTTTTCTGTCCACTGAGGAATTTGCACAGCTTCCATCAAATAATAGGTGAGCAGTTTGCTGGCAAGTTGCAGATTTTATCTTCACAAGGATGGTAGCAGGTAAGACAGCATTATTCTCTCCCAGTTTGGAGGGCAAACTGATACTTGGAGTGGCACAAAGAAGTAGCTGAGCTGGGAACAGACCCAAATCTCCTTCATTTCCATGCAGTATCCTAGTCACAAAGCTGCTCTCACAAGCATTGCTAGTTAGGAGCTTTCTAATCCACTTCAGGATACATTCCAGCTGATATCCTTAGTATACATTGGTCTAGTGTGGCTGCATCCTACAAAGGCATGCCTTGGGTTTGTGAAGAAAACTAAAATAATGTAGTTTTGTCACATTTCCTGAAATTTTACAGCTCCACTCCACGCAACTAAACCTCAAGTTCCAAAGCACAATATTTTCTCCACATCAGAAATTAAAAGAGAAAATTTGACAGTCCAGCTCAGGCAGGCAATGAATCCTAAAACCCACTTAAAACCTACGCAGGATTAATTTGACATATTGGATTCCTTATACCACCTGCAGACACTCAGTGCTTTCCAAACTCATTGAGCATTAGTCATCCTTAGAGCTATGTGCCTTCTTTGGTAAGTGAGCCAGTATACTGAATGACACTTGAAACATCCCTGCTTGTTCTGGGAAAAATAAGGCTTATCCTGTGCTGAAACCAAATTCAGCACAATCCGTAAAGCATGAAACTAGGCATTGCTTTTGATAATAGCACTGTAGATGTGGCATGCAAGGAAAAATTTGACTTTATACATGACTAATCTGACACTCTGTAGGCGACATAGAAAAAGAGGGTATTTATAGAGAGCTGATAGCATCTGTCCCCACACCTGATAGGGGTCAGTACCTAAGGTGAGATGAGAGCATTTCTGGAAACAAGCAGGAGGCAACCCAGACCCTGAAGACCACCTACAGGAGCACCCAGTTTCCCACCTGGATGGGGAGACACATGTGGACTGTACTCCTGGTGCCCCCCAAAACCTTTCTCAAGTTCCTCGGTGAACTTTCCACTGCTCACCTTCCAGTCAGTCCACACAGCTACAACGTGTTTACACCTTCCCACCCACCATTCCCATCCCAAACCTTCGCCCACCGAAGCAGTTGTCTGTAGGACGATGCGCTGGGCAAGGTTAAAAAGGGAAAGGGGCTGGGGGAGAGGGGAGTGTTACACTTCTCAGCTGAACCAGCTCTGGGTGATGTCGGGATGCTCAGCAGCCACAGTCGCGATGCTGTGGGGAGAGCGCGGGGTCCCACGCCACGGGAGACCCGCACGATGCGGACCCCGCACTCTCCGCCGCGCCGGGACGAAATCCCGTCCCATCCCCATCCCCATCCCCATCCCCATCCCCATCCCCATCCCCATCCCGGGGCACTCACCCGGGCTGCCGGCGTGTCCCGCGGCGGGAAGCGAGGAAGGGCGGCCGAGACGGCTTCGGGACGGAGGCGGAGGAGGGGGAGGCGGAGGAACACGCCGCGGGGAAGCGAGGGGCAGCGACCCGGCCGGTGGGACCGGGACCAGCCCCAAGCCCAGCAGCAGCAGCAGGGTGCAGGCTGCCGGCATGGCGCTGGGGGTGGATGGAAGGGGAGGCGGGGGGGGCAGGGGGGTGGTTGTTCACATACCCGGAGCGGGGCAATGAATAACCACGTAAATAGCGATTTTTAATGAATTCCCCGTGCCCCCCCCCCTCGGGGCGGCGCCTTAGAAGTGCGGGGTGCCCATAGCGCAGGGGGTGAGGGGGGGGCCCGGCCAGCAGCGGCGGCAGCCTGCGGCCAAGTGCCGGCGCCCGAAAGTAAAAGGGCAGGCGGCGGAGGCTCCTCCTCGAGCCTGACATCACCCAGCCGCGGCTCGGCTCGGCTCGGCATGGCCCGGCTCCCCACGGCCCCCCCCACCCCGGCCCGGCCCGGCCCCCAGCGGCCGCCCCCTCCCGCCCCGCGCAGCCGTCGGGCCGCCCGCTCCCTCGCCCGGCTGGCTGCGGCATCAGTAGGAGAGTTAGTAGTAGTAATAATAATAGTAATAATAACGCTTCTTTTTACTTCTACTTTATTTTTCCTGCCGCGCCTCCCAGGCGCGCCGGGCAGCACGACCCCGCTGCCGCGGCCGCGGCGCTGGCGGAGAGTCCCGGTTCGGTTCCGCGGCTTAACGCGGGCAGCGCACGGCTGGGTCACCCCCTCCCCCTGCACAGCCCCCAGCTTCAATTCCATCGGAATCGAGTCCTTGACAAGTAACTTCAGCTGTTCTCTTGGTTATAAAGCTGACTCCCTTTCAAACGCCAGCAGCGGCGTTTGAGGGTACAGTTTCTGGCAGTGGTGAATTTCCCAGGCCGGGCTGTACGGGAGGCAAAGGATTTCCCTTCATTGTTCTGAAATTCCCCTCCATAATTTCATGCTCCTAGCTCTGGGAGAGAGCACGCCGCAGAGCAGTGGTTTGGGCTTTGCCGGCGCTGCCGGCATCCCGATGCGCGGCTTTCGGTCCCCTGAGCTCTGCCTCTGCGGGGAACACAAACCCGTCCCGGCCAGCCTCTCCCCTCGAGTCGCTCCTGGCCTCTGTACTTTTCCCTCGAGCTGCTTCAGAATCAGACTCGATTTCCACAAGCCAAGCAGAACCCGACCTTCCGAAGGGGAGGGTGACTGGTGACAACTCACCACGTCCGGACGGCTGCAGCCTCCAACAAGCCGGGGTCCGGCCCGCAGCCCCCAGGTTTGCTCTTCCCCAAAAGCAGAAGTCGGTGGCTGACTTACACAAACTCTCCTGGAAGCCGCTTTCCACCCAAGAGGTGGCACTGATGAGCCCACACCAGCACGCTAATGGCCTTGGCTTTACCCCGACAGAACTCGCTCTCCTCTGCTCCTGGGCTTTTCTCTCACGTGCCAATGTTTTTCCCACACGACTCTTAGAAATCCTCATTCTGGTACTTGAATAATCATAGATTAAAAGCCCTGGGAAGGCCACCTTTGAGGCATCCCTCTATCAATCTATGCTCTAGTCTACTCCGTACAGCTTTTGCCATCTTCTTGCTTCAAATTTGCCTAAATCCAAGGAACAAACCAAGTCTGGTCAGTTTTGGACATGAAGCACAAACCAATCATGATTATGCTTTAGTCATGCAAGCAAGCACCCCAGTCCTGGCAAACGGAGTGACCCAGATGCCACAGGCAGCACCAAGGTACCTGATCTACACAGGACATTTTTAGGCTTCTTCGTTCTGTGTCCAGGTATTTACACATTTTGTATGGAATAGTTGTGCAAAACAAAGCTTCTGTCTCCATTAGACAGAGAGACCAATACACAGCTAAAGCTCAGGGGAAGAGCTGTAATGTATTTTGATACTTTGGGAGATGGCACAGGTAGTGCAATGCAGCAGCTCAAACACTTGGGGATATCTTTATACATGAAATACAGGACTCCATGCTATCACTTCCTAAGATACTTAAGTAATAAATATGATTCTTTAGAAAGTTTTGTTAGTCCCTAGAAAGAAACACTTGCCAACCAGCAAATCTGACACTTTTAACTTTGCAATACAGATAAAGCAGCAGGACCACAGAAACCTCTCTGATCCTCTCAAGGATGCATCCTCAGGGCTGCAGGGGCAAATGAAAGCCAAACTTCACCCTGACATGAAATGGATGCTCTCTCATCCACCCTCTCTCATGCCTGAGGGCCCTAATACCAAGTCCAGAGCTCACACCCTTTTCTCTGCCTTCTCCAAGAGATTTCTCTAACATCTAAGCCACACAGCAGCACTCTTACTGCATCCTTCCAAGCTGTAAATCCAACAAGCAGGAAGCACAGTATCAAATGCTTTTCCAAAAGGGTCTCAATAAATTCTTCCTACTGTTTCACTCAACAGGCCCATGGAGAGCCATAGCAGACACAGGCAAATGCAAAACAAACACTTCTGCAGAGCAGCCCATGTCGGTATCGAATGGCTCCATCTCCCCATTCCCCCATGGTGCCCCCATAGCATGGCCACCCTGCAGTGCCACTAGCTAGGGAAGGCTGAATTAACCCCCTCTGGGCATGGGGGAAGGGGGTAGCTGATGTCCTCCCAAAAGCTGCCATTAAACCTGCCTGACCTGCTGCATTTCTGAACCAGACAGGGCACTTGTGGCCATGGCAGGGGTGACCATGAGGACCGTGTGCCTGAGTGCAGAGCCAGCAGCAGGAAACGCTGGCCACAGGGCCCCTGCTGCCCTTGGATGAGCCACATCCTGGCAGAGCTCAGCACAGGTGGGACAGGAATGCCACTGCAGCCTCTGAAGACCATGGCAGTGGTGAGCTGCCTTCACCAGCCCCAGCAAAGGCCCCACAGGTGTGAACCCGTGGGCCTAAACCAGTACTCACCATCGGAAAATAATCTCACTCCTCTCTCCATCATGGCTTCATGAGCAGCACATTATTTACAAGCACCTGGAAACACCAATATTCAGGCAGTTTCAGACTTCCCAAATGAAGTCCCTTCCCCCACAGGTGTCTGATTTGTCAAGGTTTAGTGCCTGTAAATGTAAAGCTACTGTGTTTTCCTGCCATCTTATCTTTTATTCCTACCTTCAGGGTTTCGTAAGGAATATAAGAAGTCAATTTATGACTGATATTTTTGAGTTCCAGTTTCAATAGCCACGCAGAAACAACAGAGGAAAAACCTCACTTTGTTGGTTTTTATTCAAAAACTACTCTTTTACCCATTGGAGCTGCGGATGGCAGTGTGGAGGGGATATCAACCCTGCCACCCATGTGATGAGTTTGACACCCTTCTTGGGGGCTGGGAAAGAAGCTTCAGTGATGGGAAAAGGAAGAACTGCAGCAGGATGAAGGTGGAGCACAAGCTCTCAGTGAAGGCCACCAGCACTTGGCTTTTCCCCATGTGGTGCTGCAGTTGTTTATCCCCAGAGCACAGCCACACGCCCCGCTGCTGCATCCTGCTGCTGCTGCTTCCAGGGCAGCTCCAGGCTGAGGGCTGCTCCATACCCTCCTTGTAATAGGAGATTTAAATGCATGAAATTGTGGCTGAGGAGCCAGATGGGCCCAGCAAAGCCTGATGTCGAGTAATGCCACAGCATCCTCCTGAAAGAGGCTGTGACCTCAAACACCTCCCCAAATTATGTACAGAACACGTTTAGCACTTCATCTGAAAGCAAGCAGCACATTCCACACACAGCAAAGGAGTCAGAAACAAACAAACAAACAACCTCATCAACATCAAACAAAGCTATATATGAAACATTATTGATATTGATTAATTGAAACCTGCCCATCACCCTGTTTTGGGGGAGGAAAAACAGAGTGTGTTTTGATTTCACCTTCATTCCCATTTTCCAGATTGAGGGCTAGAGACATGTGACAAAATGTGCTGGTTTCTACATTGTTTTGGTCTGAAATCCCAAAAAGCCACGAGAGTCTCTGCAGAAGAGGCATCTCTGTAGCACCTTGTGAGGATTACAGTGACCAGTCCCTTCCCTCTGGTTCCATGGGAGCCTTCCACGGCACAGCCCATGTCATGAAACTCCTGCAGCTCCCTTGAAACTCATCCCAGATCTCTCCAAAACTTGGATCAGGCTCATAAACCTCAGACAAGTTTTAAGCTGATGATGAATTAAGGTACAAAGTGAATATTTTCTCCTCCTGGAATTTATTATTAAAAGCCCTGAGTTTCCAAAGCAGACAAATAGTTCCTGAGTAATTAATTACCTTCACATCTCCTCTTGATGCCACAAGCCATCCATTAACAGATACCAATCGTCCAAAAGGCACTTAATACGTGACCATTATTCTTGAAATTTTGGGGGTGGTGGTATTTTATTGATTTAACAAAAACTGCTTGCCTTGTACCTCCATTGGAAGCAGCTTGTTCCAGATATTTGACATTTGGAGGTCAGGATATGGGTCTTGTGATCCCTCTTCATCCCTCACAGAAAAATGCACAACGTGAAATGATGTTGCATTTTGAATCCTGTCACTGGAAAAAAAAAAATCCCATATTTTCTGGGTGAAAAAATAAATCAGCCATCCAAATCTGAGAAGAAGCAAATTCTAAATTTCTTATTTATTTATTTCAGGACCTTTTTCAGCCAGCTCTGGTTTGGAGCACACCCAGAATTTCTGGAGCTGAGCTAAACACTTCAGAGCAGTGCCCTTAAATCTGGAAAGAAGCCCCCAGTGAAATTTAGAAGGGACACTTGGATGCAATAAAGTTACTGTGCTCTTCTAAGTTTCTGGGAGCACCCATGGTTCTATTTGCTCTTGCATAAGGAGGGCAAATCCTAGGTATTGGGGGATACGAGTAAAAAAATCATGTGAAAAGCCACAAAGAGCAGAAGGCAGAGAGGCAAGGAGCCCCTCCTGTGCTGTATGGGCTTTAAAGTGATTTATTTTTAGCCTGCAGTTTGCTGCTAGAGCCTCTCATCTGTAGCTTTTAAGGCTGTTACCACTGAGGTCTCACCTTGTCTCAGGTTTAAGGGATGCTGTGCCAAATCTGGGTTGCAGCAAGACACCACTGCAGAATATAACAAGTGTGTTACATTCCACTTTCATACAGAGCTAATAAATTTATAGGTTTTCTACAAAATCTCTTATCTTTTATTCCTGTAATTACCTTCTCTAAAATTCACCATGCAAGGGCAATAATTCAAATACCTTCCATTCCCCTCTAACCTAAATGTTAGTCCTAGGCTGGCTCTTATGCTTCAGCAAACCTCTTCTGACCTTGCAGGTGTAAGTATGATGCTGTTTAAGAGACTCTGCCTGTCTGAGTCTAAATCAGAGCCATATAGCTGAGAGCAACCAACCTCACAAGGCACAGAAAGTCCCCTGTGCCTTAATTCAGCCATGCAC